ACATCAGTTCAGCTAGCCCCCTGCTCCCGGACCTCTTCCTACTCAGGTGATGCAGGACGAGCCATGGACGGTTAGTTTAGAGCCTCCGTCGGAAGCCGAAGTCCGAAACGCGATCACAGCCCTCAATTGTTTTCGTGCCGCTGGCCCGGATTCCCTACCACCTGCACTATTTAAGGATGGAGGTGAGGTCCTCTGCAAAGCACTGACCTCCCTATTCGAACGTATCTGGAACGAAGAGTGTGCCGGCCAATTAGAGCGAATCGATTATAGTGGCAATATACAAGAAGGGCAGTCGCACGGACTGTGCGAACCACAGGGGTATTAGCCTAACGCCAGTTGTGACAAAATTACTGGCCTCGATTCTCGTTCGTCGCCTCACTGCAGAACGGGAATTTCGGATCAGAGAAGAGCAGGCCGGTTTTCGCCCAGGACGTGGCTGTATAGACCATATATTTACTTTGCGGCAGGTGCTAGAGCAGCGCCACGCATACCGCAGACCGACAATAGCTGTGTTCCTCGATTTCAAGAGTGCGTTCGATTCAGTCGATCGAGCGATTCTGTTCGAAATACTTGTGCGGAAAGGTGTTTCCACGAAATATGTGAACATCCTTCGTGCTCCATACTCGAACACTAGAGGCCGCGTCAGGGTCTATGGTGCCCTATCGGATAGCTTTTCGACTACAAGTGGCGTTCGACAGGGTTGCCCGATTTCCACGTTTTTGTCCAATTTCGTCGTGGATTCTATCATGGAGTGTTCCCTTGCGGAATCTCACGATGTAGGGGTTGAAGTGCTGCCTGGTGAACGGTTAGTTGATCTAGATTATGCGGACGATATCGTCTTGCTTTTCGACAATGTTGAGGCGGCACAATCAACCCTGAATAGCCTATCCAGAGTGGTCCCATTATTTGGTATGCACTTCGCACCTTCAAAGTGCAAAGTGTTGCTGCAGGACCACCAGCCACGTGATGACCCCTTGACGCTTGCTAACGAGGAACTCGAGGTGGTCGATCAATTCACTTATCTTGGCAGCTGCATCAGCAATGATGGGCGCATAGAAACTGACGTGAGCTCACGCATTGCAAAGGTCAGAGCTGCCTTCTTGAACCTGCGTCATCTTTGGCGACAGAAGGGAGTTTCCCTTCGTCTGAAAGGCCGTGTGTACAAGGCCACAGTGAGAGCCGTTCTGCTCTATGGTAGTGAAACTTGGCCCCTTCGGTCTGAAGATCTGAGGCGCCTTCAAGTCTTTGATCATCGTTGTTTGCGAAGCATTGCTGGTGTCGGATGGCACCAGCGTGTCCGCAACGATGATGTGCGTAGGCGAGTACTAGGTGGTGATGATCATGCTAGCTCCCTAGAACAACAGATAGCACTGAATAAGTTACGTTGGCTCGGGCACGTGCTACGCATGCCTGGTCACCGCTTACCTAGGAGGGCCTTGTTCAGTCTACCAAGTGTCGGATGGCGCAAGGCTCGAGGTGGACAGAAGTTGACTTGGCAGCGGGAAATGAAGTCACTGACGACCAAACTGGGTGCCGTTGGTCCGTCTCGCCTTCCGGGTTGGAGTCCACGTGACTCACCTTGTGCTTGGCTCGAGACTTTGCAGGACATGGCTCGCAGTAGACACCAGTGGCGCGTCTGCTGCCGTTTTCTAATCGGATTGCCTGTTTAAAGTGTGTTTGGTGCTGAGTTATCTGCGGGGTAATGGCTGATTATGACGCGTGGCAGTGAAAGCCGCAAGGAAGCTGTCTCGCCGATGCCGCCTTATCTTTGCACGATAGCCAGCTGTTTGGGACGGTATGTTGTCTACACAAGGTGTAGGCGCCTTGACCCAGAATGTTTGCTTAGGGCATTAAGGTTTTCAGGTAAGTCCCCCTTCTCTCCCTCTTATTCTTTATTTCATAGGTCCTCATGGTTGTATGGCAGCGAAGCATCAGTTCAAATGGCTGATGTACTGCTGTTGATGATGATGATGACGCTCACAGTAATACTTTCTGGTGGTGGTAGGACCTTTTTTAAGGAAATTATCACACCTCGGCAGCCTCAAAATATAAATGACCTCACTACCAACTGACGGTGTAACCTTTTCCTTTGGCCTTCTCGGTGATGCACGCTTCTATTGCTTTGATTGTTTCTTTCTGGTTGAAAGTGATGAACTCGGCACTCATCCATGGTGTTTAATCGTGCAAGAAAATCACGCGCATCGACACCGTCAATAGCTTGAACCATTAGCTCATTATCGCCAGCAACACGAAGAGCGGTCATTGTCGATAGATTGAAAACCAGACTCCGATATTAGTCATGATGCTGCCATATCGTATGTGTTTCGGAGACACTGCAAATGAATACCAAGCTAGTGAACCATTACCCCAATTTGACCGATTTGACCCAGATAGTGGACGTTGAATGAACCGATGGGAAGTGCGACCATTGGTTTGGCACCAGTAACACAACTTACCTAGCTGTGGCCTCTTGCTTTGTAGACGAGAGTTAAGTTGTAAGGTAGAGAAAAGTAAGTGGTATTGCTGGTGGCGACTGAATTGCAAGGGCCAACTTATGCTCTCCGACTGCCCATTCTGGTGGAGGGGTTCTAGCCTGTCCCACTGCAGTGCTGTATGTGGAGGTTTGCTCGAAGGATGCTCACCCGATGCCTTTAACTCCGTAACCTGACTCACAAGGCAGTGGGAAACGTCCACAGTGCGATCACAGAGTCCCACTGGGGTCGGCCTGAGGTCCTCACACTTAGCTTTTAAATATTTGGGGCAATTCACACAACATACTGTGTCGATGTTCCGCTTCCACGCCATCACCACCGTTCACACGTGAGCTGACTATATCGCAAGGAAGCTCGTCCCTGCGCGGATTCAAACTGGTGATCTAATGATTGTTAGTCTGGTGTGCAATCCTTTCGGCTACCGGCCGACAGTCATTATACATATTAGCTAGAGTTGGAAAGCATATCAATTATTGTGCCGCAATACATAAGAAAAGAACGGAAAAATGTGCAACTGAGACATGTCAGCTGAGTCACTAGTAACTGAAGGACCGTTTCGTGTAAATAACAGCCGGCTATTGTACCTCAAAAATGTTTATGCCGAAGAAATAATATCGTGGTTGGAGGGGAGACTAAGCGGGTGGAGGAGGTACAAGGAAACTGATCACAAACGCCACTGAGGTCGGCTCCTAAACATGTCAACGAGTGTATCCAGCCAAACGTGTACATCTTTCAGATCTCAACCAGAGAACCAAGAGGCTCCAACCAGGGCCGAAATCAAAGTGAGAGCATTCATTCTCCTTGACCATGCCATCGCTTGGCCACCTTTTCTTTCATCCACACCCACGGAGCGCAACACGTGGCCCTGTCACCGGAGCCTGGTGCGTGAACTAACGGTGCTAAGCGGCTCACTTCCCCTTCCTGTGCCATAAACAAGGCGTCGAACACGCTCGTTGATCACACGATGTTGGCACCAGATATGAGCTAAACTGCAAAGGCACCGCTGATCGAAGGTAACTAGCCTCTGTGTCGGCTGATCTAATGGGCAAGTTTCACAATCGTACAGCAGAGTTAAACATTGTACACTGCTCTTCAGAGATTGAGAGGGTGATGTTTCGCTGGCGCCGTAGGTGACAAACATTAGCAAGTGTCTCGTGCTTTTGCTATGCGATTTATGGCCTTTTTAATTCCAACAGTGTTGATACAGCTACCTAGGTAGTTGAAATTTTAACGACTTCTAGCTGATAACCACCCAGAATCGGCGCAGGAAGCGGTCCCTGCCAATATTCGAGTGAAGCTTATTCTTCTAGGGCGCAAAGCAAAGCCCGAGACGGCGGACGGCCAGTGCCATTGTCTACACGTTTTCTCAATTCGTTGCATCGTTCCCCTAAATATTTGCATCGGTCACGCTTGAAGCTGCTTTGGGTGCGTCATGTAACACGTTGCGCATCTGCACACTTATGAGCCATACTCTGTTTGCGACGTGAGATCATGTGATCGCCTTGTCACTATGAGTATATCTCATACGAGTGCACACTTTCAACGCACGCACTTCAGCTTCAACCGGGACCGATGCATTTAGGGGAACGATGCAACGAATTGGTGTAGTACCGTTTGGCACATTCGTGAGCTGTCATTGAGGGCAATGTCATCATCATTCAGTTCATCATGTGCACCTTTTTCACTACAGTGACATGTCATGTTAAACTGGACTTCACGTTCGTTACAGTCGATTACCTGAGCTGAGTTAAAGCGTATTCGAGCTACCGATCATGTATGGGGTCGCTTATGTACCTGTCGCATCGCCCATGTCGGGTCGGTACTGGTAGGGTTGCTGGTGGGAAGTTAAGCTGGCGATGATTGAACGGGGTTTGATCAGTTTCTCACGCTAATTTAGGCCCCACTGTCTCCACTTTTCTGGGTTGTAATCCTTGCAAGTTAGGTAACGCACCTGGTACTAACGATGTGCTTACTGTGGTCGCGCTAACTACAGCGCTGTTCCCTCTTAGTACTGGCTTATTATGACGTCGCCGATTGAATCATTGCGAATCTCACTATCACCATCTTTTGTTTGTCGCTCTTGCTTTATGACTGTATGGCAAGTGCACCAGTAAGAAAAGCTGCTGCTGCCATCTTTAGTGGTGTGATTCAACCTACTCGTGTTATTCTTTATGTCCCCAGAGTGCTGACCGTGTCTACTTTTTGTTATTATACGAAAGCTTTGTTTCCACCAACTTTAATTCACCCTCGTTTTATGCACGCTGAATTGATCCCTTAGAACAAACACCGCCTTGTCGGTTTCCTTACGTCTTAGTCTCCGCGGTTTACAACCCATCAGATTAATGCTTCATTTGGTACTTTGAAGTGCGTACTTTGCAGCTACCTTGGGTACGGTTAGGGGACGCGTGCATATAGTAGGGCAGAGGTTTTTTGCACATTAGTTTCCTCAGCTTAAGTGGCTTGTTTGTGTCTATCGTCAGTTTCACTCTTTCTTTCATTTGTTTTTAGATCATGTCTGTTATCATCAGATTGCAAAACTTGCCAATGTCGGCAAATGCGTCCAATATTCGACGCTTCTTTTCGGGTCTTGCCATTCCTGAGGGTGGTGTTCACATTGTCGGCGGTAATGATGGAGATGCTTTCATTGCCTTCGCCACTGATGAAGATGCCCGCAAAGCCATGCTGTTAGATAGACAGACAATCAACGGTGCCTCTGTTCGCTTATTCCTCAGTAGCAAGACGGAAATGCAGTCCATCATCGATTCCGCTCGTAACTCGGCTCTCCTTGCGGGGGCCGCTGCAGCACCGCAACCTGCGCCACAGAAAACCGAAACCATGCAGGCTCTTGACGTATCCACCCCAACATTGCCAAGCTCCTTTTCTTCGTATCGAAACGGTGTTCGCGAAACATATCCGTCCGAACACCAAGACCAGTATTCCTATGGTGATCGGAACGATTCTTCTTCTGCAGCCCACCCGACGCGCCCTCCTTTCGAGGCTCATCCCGTCGAAGGTTATGCCAATGATCCCAATCGGCGTCTCGCACCGAGACCATCTGAACGCGCTCCTCCTCAGCCAGAGTCGGCCTCTCGTGATCATGATTATGAATTTGAACGTCAACCCCCTCCACAATACTCCAGGTTTGACGGTTTCCGCGACCGCCCTCCACCGGTTATTGATGACTTCAGGCCATCGACCAGGGAACCCATTAACTTCGAGAATCGTGCCTCACCTAAGCCCTATCGGGAGTATTATGGTGAACCTGCGTATGATCGCCGCCCTCCCGAGGGCTCCTATCCTCCGCATCCCAAAGAAGGACCAAAAGATGTTCTACCATCGCATGTTGAATCTCGATATGGGCATGATTCAGCTGACCATTCAGCTGGATACGAGGATGGTCGTTTTTCCAACCCACATTTCGATCGGTTTTCCCCGCGAGAACCCACTAGAGAGACCCGTGATTTCTCTGAAGTAGGCGGCACACGCCACCCACCCCCCTATGATCGACGTTCATCTGGACCACACTCATACGAACGAGACATACCTTTTCATCGACCACCCAGTGAGCGAGATTTCTCCATTCGTCCCCCTTGGCTTAATGAAGAAAGCGGAACGGCGGGTCCGAAGCGCCCATATCATTCTGCTCCCGATGTAGAGGAATACCCCCGTAAAAGAAGACCTTTTCCTCCACGCGCCAACGATGCAATCTCTTCTGGTGAAACAGAATACGTAGTTAAAGTAACACTCCCAATTTCAGAAGTGGGCATCAAGGTTATCTTTGAGGTATTGCGCGGGGTTCATATAGTCCCGAAATGGGGAATTCGTGTAGAAGAAGATGCGTTGCTACGTCCGACAGGTTACATCTTCATCATGACGACTTCGCATGATTCATATAACAAAGCCCTAAATTACGACGGCCGTCCATACCGAGGGAAACCAGTTAAAGTTGCTCCGTCGTCTTTATCTGAATTTTATAGAGTCACCGATTCGTCATTTCACCACAAGTGCCCACCGGAAATTCTCAAGAAGCTCCCTTCTGCTGATCAACCCGCCTGTCCTCCTCATCACTCTGATGGTTGCCTCGAAGTGGCGGAGCTTCCACCCGATACTACTAGGTCGGAGATTGTTCGATTTATAGGAGCACCGGGCTTAACGGCTTCGAGTGTCGTCATTTCTGGCTTCTCACCTTCTGATAGAACTGCTCCAAAAACTCCGGGATCTGTCCGCGCTTTGGTATCCCTTCCGTCAGCTAAAGATTTGGACATCTTGTTATCAGCGAAGCCGCGACCTTTGCGCCCAGACGGCGCTTTTCCCCCCGTCCGCCTCACTCCCATATCGCGATTACAGCTGGAAGCTTACGGTAGCCTCAGCGTTGAGAACAAGCCCAAAGAAGAGCCAGTAAAACCTGCTGAATCTGCTCCACTCACACCGGAGGCGCCTAAGACGTCTTCCGAACCACTAACTTGCGCTCACTTGACGGGACTGGAACGTTCCATGAAAGACTCCGAAGTACTTCGCTTGTTTCCATCCGTCTTGGTCCCTGGGGATGCTGTCCGCATGGTTGGACCGGAGAATACGAGTGCCTACATAGACTTCATTAGTGAGAATAACTGTCGTCGAGCCATCGCAGACATCAGAAATGCCGATTCGAAAGCAAAACTGTCGCACCCAAATATTTGTATTGAGGCAATTTCACGACGGGAGATGGAAAGTCATGCGAGTTCTTCCAACAAAGATGACGAAGTATCGCAGTCTACTAGTATAGATCCCCGTCCGAGTCGTTCAACACATGATAGGGATCCTCGAGACACTGTTCGAACTTGGGAATCTCGTCCACCTCCTCGCGCTGGTAGGCATGCCTCGCCCGGGCCACCGTTTAGAACGCGTTCGCCATCCGCTCAGGCTTTAGGCAGATCGAAGTTCGATGAACCCTATTACGACCGCAACGGACCTGCACCATCTTACGATGATCGACACGGTGGTCCCATGCGTAGAGGCAGACCCATGGACATTCCGCATACCGGTCCACCTTTGCCTCCTCCCGTCGACTACGCGCTACCTCCTCGGCCCAGCGATTCTATGCCACCTCATCGGCGACAAGGTCTAGACTTTGTCACAGTACATATTGGCAATCTCCCCAGCTCAGTCACAGTCGAACAGTTGTGTGGCATCATGCGAGATTATTACTTTGTCCCGGGGTCGATTCGACTGCGAAGAGATATACAGGGAATACCTACGGGTGAAGCGTTGGTCGATTTTAACTCAACTTATGATGGCGATCGCGCCATAAGGGATCTAAACGGATATCGATTAGCTGGAAGACCAATTCATTTGCAATATGACCGCCGGCCATAGCACTGTCCGCAATTTTTGTGAACCGCAGTGTGCAAACATTCGTTTTTCGCTGCTTGAATTTAGCTCTTGGATTCTTCAGGTGAGAATTTTTTGGAACCAGAAGTTTATTTCCTAGCAGTAGTTTGCCGCGCTCACTTCACCTTTTGGGCATTTTGGATGGCTTTTGTCACATTACCTTTTAGCATATGCAAACCGCACGTTTTCTTGTTTGCTTTGTCTCGATGTGGTTGCCCTGTAGTCTAATTTATTCTGCTCATTTTAATCCCACTGGACAGCCGTGATCCGGGCACTAAAGTACGTCGGGAGAACAATGAGGCTAATCGCAACTAGTACACGAAACATGAAATCAAGAAGAAAGTGCACAAAACTACTCGCGGATAAATGAATATTAACAGTTAGATGTAGGAAACCCGTATGCAGGAGCCCGACCGCACCGCCATCTCGAGGCTCCAACCCACGCATCAGCCTGACCAAGTTTCTCAGTTAATTTCTTTATGTCTTCATACCAAGTCATGAACTGGTCACCTCGAGATTGCGCCCAACTTAACGCGACGACTACTTATAACACACCGTAAAAGGCGGTCAGCAGGTATACCGAGGACATGACCTAGCCAATGATGGCGCTGGTGAGCTACTGTAGGGTTTCCTGCCAAAAGCTAAGTGACGAACCTCAGCATTTCTCACCTGGTGTACTCGTCAGCACCAGTTGTCGAACACGTCCAAGTGTTTAATCTTTTCACTGCGAACTGTTCAAGTCTTAATCATACAGTAACACTGGCCTTATCGCAACGTTTCATACCTCACCTTTCACTGACAGACTGAAATCCCACCCTCTGCTTAGGTGCTTGTGCCTCTGGAAAGCCACACACACCTTGCTGATACCCAAAGTAGCTTCCACTTAATGGCCACCATGGGTGACATATACCAAGCTCAGTGAGCCTTCCCACTACCAGCGGTTGTTCGCTGACAGCTGAAACCCGTGACGTTTTGGTCCAATTCAGGCACAGCGTTTTGCATCTGAAAGGTGCAAAGCACTTGCAGATTCGTGTCCAGTTTAGCCACTCATGCTTGCAGTGCCATTGTGCCATACCCACCCAAAGAGAGCTATGTCATCCGCATGCTCAGTTTTTCATTCGGTAGCATGTTAGAACCGAGTCATTCATGATCGTTTCGACCACCAAAATTGAGGAGTGAACTAGGTTTAGGAAATAAGGAGTACTAAGCCATCAGCTGTACTCAGATACGCAGTACCGACGCTTTGCTGCCGCGCAGCCACCAGCAGTCGTACTTGGGTCGCCCGGCCCTTACGCGGGCTCGAACCCGCGCCCATGGATTACAAGGCAGGCTTGTGATCCTCAAGGCTACTGACCGGCATTAGGTATACGACAGCTCTGTCGAGCTTCTTGTATCAGGGAACTCAGGACGCAGCTTCCCGTAGATTTCTACTCGGTGTCCGGAGTCACGGTAGGGGGACTTCAGAGTGGAAAGGTGTTTCCTTAGCTCGCATTTCACGAATAGTCGGTGCCACATGCTGTCACTATCAAGAGTCAAGGGCGTTTTCTAGTAAGTGTGAACTACCATGGTCAATTATCTCTAACTATATTCTCATACATTGTGGAGTATTTATGAGGACGTTGCAAACATGACAGGGCTCTCAAGAGGACCAGTAAATCGTCGAAGAATGATACTCGTGAAAAGTTGGGATACAGTCGCCCATTTATCCCGGCCGCTTAGGTGACGTAGATTTGTTCGCATCCGTTACGCAGGTTTTGCAGTTTACTTCAAGGTAACCTATACTTCTTAGTTAAACAGATTGCAGTTAGCACGCACCTGGATACTTTCTGGTGTTCTTCTCATTGGCTGCCCAGCTCCAGAGGGATACCCTCTCCAACCTCGATTTGGGGATATTGGTTCCGGCACTTCTGGCCTCTGTCTTGGGCTTCATCACTCCCTCACACATTACTCACAGCTATTACTATTACCTTTGCCAGCGTACTGGTGTGTGCCGATCTACTCTGGTAGATCCCCAACGGAACAGGTTATTTCGACATCAAATTAATCAAAACATTTGGGTGGCCTGTTCATTTTACTCAGTCGCACGCTCTGGTGCATTTAAAGGTTTTTGCATCTGATATTGTGACAGTGTTTGCTCTTCGTCATATCAGTTGTGTTTACTTATTGATAGTCTGGGGGAGACTCACTAGTGGTCTCTAATTAGTTTCTGTTGGAATGACAAGAAAAGCATCATCTCAAATTGTTTAGCATTTAGCGCAGGAACCTTGTAAATCTCTTACACTCTGTTACAACTAACATCACTGCGCAACTATCCACATTAACTTTGTTTTTTGTGTCAACTTCGTCGGTCATTTCCGGTGTTCGTGGTTACTTGACATTGGGACAAAGCAACATTGAAAACGTGCCGGTCTAGGTTTTCCGCATTTTTCTACTTGTTCAACTTGCACACCAACCGTTTGAACATTACATGGATAACTTACCTCGACTTTTTCTAGGTTTCTTCCCTAACTCCACTGTTACGTTCATACTTTTGCCCATGTTTTCACTAACTTCGTTTTGAACCAGGAACTAGTTCCATTTGGTCCTGAATATAGACAGTCAATGTCTGGTCCTGTTGGTGGTTTTCTCATTTAACCCCGGGGCCACTTCTATTTGCCATGCACCACTTAATTAATCGGATGGCTTGTTTCAATCTGATATATCCTAGGTTAGCTGCTCTCTGTGTTTGAGGAAGCCCACCACTTCAAGAAAGTGTCTGGATCAACTTCCGTTTTGTGTCGCTCGTTTTGTTCTTGGGTTTATCTTATGTGTCAACAAATCAGTTGAAGCATCAATCACTCCCATGCGATACTGGTGGCTCAGGGATCCCGCCTCACGGTATTGTGAACAAGCAAACTATGACCGAATCAATTGCAACCGAGTAAGCTGTTCCCCTGATATGTAGTTAAACGTCTGTTTCTCGGAGTAAATTCCTTGTGGATCGCGTGTATTGGCACCATCTGGAGCTACACTCAACCTTGAGTGGTTAATAAGCTGATCAATGGTTGCATTTATGCCAAGCGGTCATCCATCTACATGTAGTTATAACTGATCGTTCATATCTTTTAGGGAATAGCTCGCATCATCCAGGAATATACAATTTATGTTTAAAACTACCTTCACAATCGCTTACAGCCCGTTTCGTCACGCCATTAATCGACCATGTGGGTTACCGCTAGTCTACGGAACCCACTTTTAAGTCCTGGCATTACCCATTTCATTACAGGATAGGTTCCACGATAGCAAAAATATACTTTGGAACACGGTTTTCGGCAAATGAACTACTAGGTCGCGTTTAAAATCGTGTTTCACCCAAGCTCGTTCCCATCCTGAGATCTTCAGCTTGCCTTCCTTGAAGATTTTTCACTAAAGCCGTTTTTCCACTGAAAGTTGCAGGCTCAAATACTGTCCTTTAGTGAGTTCATCGCTTTTTTCGAATAACTGGTTAAGTGGCTTCATAACAAATTGGTTTGTCTTCGAGCTATCATGTAGGATGGTCTCGCTTTCACAAGCACTTGAATTATTTCCTAGTGCATTCGTTTTCGTTGTGTCCGTGGAAGCAGAACAGTAACACTGGACAAGTGGCAGCGTTGTCAACACTTAAAGTCAAACAGGTGCATCAGAAGTATGTGCATTCGACCAATGACTGTTAAAGGAGCGCGCATTGAGTCATGACGAGACAATTTCGATGACAATGCAAATGGCCATAGTAGAGCGTAATATGGCAACACTACATTGTCCTCTCTGCTTGCTAGTATGTAATCACTTCGAGTTAACTTTCAAGCAACTAAGTATTTAGGTATGGAGTACACATCGTGTTGTATTGTCCATCAGGACATACCGGTTGACATATCGACACATCCAGCATGATATTCGTAGGTTTTGCTCTGTTAGTGCATTTGTTTTTGTCTTAGAACGTCCTATGCAACCGTCTCACATTAGCTTGCGTTCCATACGCCGGTTTGTCTGTTCGTAGCGTATACACCGATTTCGCGAGGGTAGGTGGTCCGAATGTCGTTGCCCCTTTCCACGAACTAGACAGCTCCTTACGAATTTAGGTCCCTGGAGTAGGCTAAGTTTTTCTTAGTCATCTGTATATAGCTTGGTAAGCATCTCGCCTGGCATATTCACTAGGGTTAGTAGTTTCTTCGAATTTACGGGCTGCATTTACCCGGGTTCGAATTATTCTTCGCATCATCAATTCTGATGGATTTTCGGCCGTTTCTATATACCCTTTCGTTCGGTATGTCGCAAAGCGGATACCAATACATCCTCCTAGAATTCCCCAGAGAGCTGAAAGACTTGTATAGACTCCTTCAACGTGCAATTCAGTCTTTCATTCACTATTAGTAGCCAGCTTATTATGCGCCGTACAGGCGTTTTTGATGTTATTGCTCATAAGAAATTCGGCATACTCGTTTCGAAATTGGGGACTATTAACAGTATGAATTTCTTCCGGTAGCCCACATATTGCAAACAAATATCGTAGCCGATTTACTACCACACCTGTAATTGTCTCCGTCTCTGGTTATTGTCTATAAATGCAGGTGGCAATCAGCACGTTCCGTTCCTGAGGAGGTGTGTTGGCAAATGGACCCATGTTATCGATAGCAATGTTTGTCCAGGGCTTCATGGGACACTTATCGGGCTGGGTTAGTTTTTTCAAGCATTTCGCGCTCTTATCCGATTGTTGGCAACTGTTGCACTCTCGAACTGCGGCATCAGCATCTGAATTCAACACCATTAATAGCCGGCCCTCTTCGCACAGTGCCAGGATGAACATCATGCACGTATTTCATCACCGTAATACTAATGCCGAGGAATCACAAACTGCTCGCCATGGAAAACTCGTGGCGCACAATATACTCTGGTACTAACTCGGATTGCATACCAGGGTGACCAGGCCACGCATTAAGCAGATTCTGTAAGTTTCACTAGGCTGATATCTCCTTCAGTGTTTTCGCTGATCCGACCGATTGCCAAAGCGGTGTACTCGATTGAGGGATAAAAAAGCATGTTCACCTCATCTAAATCGTTCTCTTTTTTGTTTAATAATAGAAGCTTGGATAAAGTGCATAGGCAGCCTGGTTTGCACCACTCGGTAAGTATCGGATTTCATAGGCGCGAGTACCAGTGGCTTAGACTAGGGTCGTAAGGTCAGCGTCATCAGTACTCAAAACGAACAAATGCCAATTTTTACAGGCCCATGGGCAAATCAGACTGTTTTTCACTAGTAGAATAGATTTTACTGTGTTGGACAAACTTCGTGTAACCGGGACAAGACTGCGCGTACACCAACAGCGTCTGTTGAAGCGAATGTCCGATAATGCTCGTTGAAGATCGCTACTGAATGCATGGAAGTAACCATTGTTTGTACGGTCAGATGAACTTCCTTTTGTTCAGTAACCTAGTGATATCTTTTTACTGCCGCCAATTTCGTCAGCGATGGTCTCAAAACTGGGTAAATTTTGAAGATATTATGAACACATACCCGAGAAATGTTTCACATGCGTATTGTTGTACGTTTTGGGGCGTTCAAGGATAGTTCTGCTGTCTCAATTATCTGGTCCAATGCCACAAGTAGGAATCCTATGCCCGACAAACTACATTTCAGCGCAGAACTGACACTTGCAAGTATTTAAGCGAAGATTAAGTTCCTTTAGCCCAAGCAGTACATTGTGGGGATTTTCCTTATGTCCATTAGTGTTGCCCCAAAAACAATACATCCTTTGATGTCAGCTAAGAGAAAGGTAACGAATTTCTGCCAAGCTGCCATGTTTCACTAAGTCCCAATGTTAGCACCTTCTACTTTTACAACCCGTTCTGTTTGAGGAATGCAGTCAAATACCGATGACCGGGACTCTGGCTTGTAGTGGTATACACTGCGAATATCTACTTTCGAGAATAGCACAGCGTTGAAGAGCCTAGCCATTAACTCATAGGCGGAAGAAAGTGGGAGGTTATCCACAATCGTGGGCTTGTACTGCATTCGCAAGTCGGTACACACATGTATTCATCCTTCTTTTGAATTGCTTCAAAGGAGTTGACCCAACCAGGGCATTGTATTGGTTCGATCAAGGCGTCATTAACCAACTGTTTCAAAGCTTTTTGCGAAAGCTTTCGGCCTAATTTGCGAAATGCTCAGTGGCCTTTAGACAAATCCGATGTTCTCTTTGTGAAACTTTTCCAATATCCAAGCGGAAATGGTTTGTGTAGTTAGAGTGCAGGGAATTGGTACTGATATTAATAATTGTCATTCGGCTGGAGGTTGGAGACATGCAATAATAACACGCTGTCATTCTGGCCCAACAGGGACTTATTGCCGATCTTAGAAACATGGGCTCGAACTGCAAATTCTCATCTATTTAACGAATACTATGTCTGTTACCATGCTTATTACGCCGTCATCTCAGTGGCTGCTGCATTTGTACATGGGTAGACGATACAAGGATTGATGCTGTATTTAAGAGCAAGTAGAAAGGTTTCTGTACAACTATCGAATTATGAGAAATCAAAAACATCTAGTTGCGAATCGTCAGCGGTAATGTTTTATCAATTAATCGTTTATCTTTTTCTGTTAGGAATACGTATTGGTGTCATTATTTCCGGGTATACGATGTCTTCTTTGGACATTGTATGCGCACCGTTTCACAAAAGCATAGGTTTCCGAATTAATCGTCGATACGTGTTTTAAAACACTTCACAGAAACGCAGCTATTGAATTTTTTTAGTAGTGTATTCCATCAGTTTGCGATTCTTCCTTCAGTACAACGCTGATGTGATACTTTGTTCATGCAAGGGACTCTGAGTTTGTAACGGTGTCCTCGGATGTTACAGGGTTCCCGCAGGTGAAATATTGGCCGCAGTATGGGGAAGTGATTCAAGTGTAGTACTCAATGGGTCATAATAAGGTCAGTTCTTATTCGGAGGTAGGATAGTGTATAAAGCCCTGGTCTTTCACATTGTTTTTCATTCGGAAGCTTTCATAAACTGGCTATCATTCTGATTGCGATATGCTGTACTTTCCCCAGCTTTTCCGTTTCCCACTGGGTTATCGGATGGTAAGCTGGGGCACCGTATTCAAGGATTAGTCTAATATGCGAAGTGAATAGGCGGGGGACCGTTTTTTCGGACCATGTGGAGACACTGCGTCGTAATGCCTAGAGCATACGAAGTCCCGCATGGCACAATTTCTCTGTATTTCCTAGTGATCTCATATCATGTCGCGAGACCACTCCTAAGTCTCTGACAGATGTGTTAGGGTAGAGCAATTGGCCGTCCAAGGCGTATGGTCGAGTGGCTGGACGTCTGATGAACTCCGACTTAAGAGGAAGTTGTATTACAACGGACCACGTTGACAGTCGTTCTAAGTCATGCTGAAAGCGAGCGCAGTCGTTCTGGTTCTCAGTGATCCTCCAGCTTTTCAAATCATCTGCAAACAGGGCACGTGGTGATTGGAGCTGCTATGGAAGATTGTTGATATGAATAAGAAATAATACTGGCTTAAGTACAGTTCCTTTGAGGCACGCCATTGGTCGATGAGAACCAACATATCAGGCAGTAATTGACCTGT